CAGCGCGGGCTCAGGCAATCCACTCACCTCAGCCTCCCAAAGGCGCGGGATTACAAGCTGAGCCACCAAGCCCGGCTAAAATACATATATTTATATTTATATAAAAGGCCTGGCAACAGAGTGAGACTTTGACTCAAAAATAAATAAATAAGTAAATAAATATTATTATTAATTTTTAAAAGTCCAAGCATAGTGACTCATACCTGTAATCCCAGCACTTTGGGAGACTGAGGTGGGAGGATTGGTTGAGCCCAGGAGTTCAAGACCAACATGGGCAACGTAGCAAGACCTTGTCTCTATGAGAAAAAAAAGAAAGAGAAAAGAAAAATTAAATTAACCAGGTGTGGTGGCACATTCCTGTAGTCATAGCTACTAAGGATCCTGAGGTGGATCACCTGATCTCAGGAGGTTGAGGCTGCAGTGAACTGTGATTGTGCCATTGCACTCCAGCAGGGGAGGCAGGATGAGACCCTGAGTCAAAAAAAAAAAAAAAAAGTCAACAATTACACTTTCATGAAATATATTTGAACTCTAAATAAAGTATTAGTTTATTTTTGAACTTTTGAACACTTGAAATAAAAAGTTAGCTTTGAACTATGCCCAAATTATATTATAAAATTAACTTGTAGCATATGTGCATATATATCAAATAGAGTAAAAGAAATAGACTTCAATTTTATTTCAGAAATGGTTAAAATTTGAATACTGATTTTTAGAAACCCCAAATTTTGAGTTTAAGAAGCTTACAATCTTGTTTAGGGACACCTATTCAAACTCTTAAAATAAATGTGGTGGCCAGACTCGGTGGCTCAGCCTGTAATCCCAGCACTTTGGGAGGCCAAGGCAAGTGGATTGCCTGAGCCTGCGGGTTCGTGACCCGCCCGGGCAACTTGGTGAGACCTCGTCTCTACAATAAATAAAAAACTAGCTGGGCGTGGTAGCGCGCGCCTGTAGTTCCAGCTACTTGGAAGGCTGAGGCGGAAGGATCACCAGAGCCCAGCAGGTCGAGGCTGCGGTGGCCGGGAGTGGCCACTGCACTATAACCTGGGAGACAGAGTGAGACTCCAACTCAAAAAAAATAAATAAATAAAAAATAAATGTGATGATTTTGTCATGTTGATGGATACCCTAAGCCACCTTGGAAAGAAGCCGTGATGGTTGCCTGAGCTATGACTGAAATATGAGTTGGAATTAGAGGACAAGAGTGGGGGTTGTTGATGATTCTCCGTATGTCTGTTGTGTTCAGCACATCTTGTGAGCAGGGGCATGGACTACCTTTGTTCTAGACTTCCTTTTCAGTCATGTTCCTACAGCAAGCAGCCATGGAAGATAGAAATAGAGTTTTCCCCCAAGCAAAAGGCAGACAGTGACATGCCTACCCCCATTGTGAAATGTTTGGGCTCCCTGAGCTCAGATTTCTCTCCTGAGAATGATAATATGGGTATCACCCAGCCTGTGGGAATTGGGGGTCAGAATCAACACAAATGCTGACTGAATGGCTACTGCTATGGCTCTGAGCAATAAACTGTCCTTCATCTCTGACCCAGGAGTCTCATGTCTTCTACGAGTGGGCTAACTTGTGGGAAGGTAACGTGTTAGCTTGTATGTAAGGTAAAAAAATCTCAGCCCCTTTATAGCTTGAGACACATATGTTACAAGGAGGGAGGAGCTTGAGACACATATGTTACAATTGAGTACAGAGGCATAGAAATCAAGTTCTATGAGAACCCATAACTAGTCCTCTATCTTCAGAGCCAAAAGGTACACAAATGAGGACATTTTAGGGGAGTATAAAGTTGGAGATATAGACAGAACCAGGTTCGAAAGAGATGACACATGCTGTGGGGAAGAGTTCAGATTTTTTTTTTTTTTTGAGTTGGAATCTCGCTCTGTCACCCAGACTGGAGTGCAGTGGCATGCTCCCGGTCACCTCAGCCTCGACCTGCTGGTCTCCAGCGCTTCTTCCACCTTAGCTTTCCAAGTAGCTGGAACTATAGGTGTGCACTACCATGCCTGGCTAGTTTTTAATTCATTGCAGAGATGAGGTCTCGCCAAGTTACCCGGGTTGGTCTCGAACCCGCGGGTTCAGTCAATCCACTCGCCTCGGCCTCCCAAAGTGCTGGGATTACAGGCTGAGCCACCGAGCCTGGCCAAGAGTTTAGATTTTATGGGGTGAGTTATTAGAGAATTTTTAGCTGAGGAGTGACACAATAAATTGTTGGTTAAATTACTCTAGGACATATTTGAAGGATGGAGCAATTTTTCTCTAGGTGAGAGAAGATAAGATATAGTAAGATGGTGGAATTAGTTCAAAGTAGTGATAGAGTGAAGAAGAAATCTGAATGAATGAAGCAAAGAGTGATGCTGTCCATTGAGATACAGCTTCTAGGAGGGAAGAGAAATTCTGGAAAGGCAGAAGGGGAGACTGAGTTCGTTTCAAAATAACTAAGTTCAGGCTGAGGAGCCTGTGGGTTTCCTCCAAAGAAATACTGAATGGCCTACGCCGGTCTGGAACTCAGGAAGGAAGCTTCCAAGGGAGAAAAGCACTGGGTATCATCTAGGTATATGTGGTGGGTGCATTCTTGTACAGCAGGCAAGAGGACGGCTTGAAAGTCAGGTGCAGACTCTCCTCCATCACCTTGTGACAGATGACTCAAGCCTCTAACCTCAGTTTCCTAGTTCATGATGTAGTCATCATGGGCTGGTTATGAAGATTAAATGCGACAGCATATACAAAATGCCTGGCACTCAATAAAAGTAAGCTTCCATCAGCAGCAGCAGCAGAATTTCGTTGCTGACGTTAAAAGATGAGGTGAGATTGTCCAAAAAGGCAGGTGGAGTGAGGGGAGAGGGTGGAGTCAAGAACCAGGAGAAGAAAAGTCTTCAAAGAATATAAAAAGAAACAGCGAGAAAGGTCAAATGAGAGCCAGAAGGGTTTCAAAAAGGAATGTGTGATCAACGTTGAGAAATCCATCAGTGAGGACAAGGCAGTCAAGGATTACATAGTCCTCTTGAAACTGCACAGCTTTGAGGATCTGGGCAAACTTCACAGGAGCAATTTCAGTGGCTCCATAACGAGTAAGGACTTACACACCAGGAGTGGATGGGCCAGGCGATGGGAAATGAAGACAGTAAATGTAGACTTTCCCTTGAAGAAATTTGAGTAGAAAAGGAAGAGTTGGGGCCAGGGGAATCTTGAAATCAAGAGAAACACACACACACACACACACACACACACACACACACACACACACACACACACACACACATACACACATACACACACACACGGATGGAGGAGACCTCATTCGCTCTTTTACTTATTATTTTATTTTATTTTAAAGGTTTGGGGTACAATTCAGGATTAGGTATACAAGTGATCATTGTACAGGTAAAGTTTGGGCCTCCCTTTGGTCCCCCACTGGTTTGAGATCAAGTACGCTTATTAATGTTGTATGTCTCCCCTCCGTCCTCTGGCAGTTTCCCACTTCTGCCAATCCCTTTCTTATAGTATTATGATAATTAATCATGGTCTGCTTATGAGTGAGAACATGTGGTACTCAGTTCTTTGTTTCTGTAATAGATCACTGAATATGATAGACTCTAAATCCATCCAAGCTGCTGCGAAGTCCATAATTTTGTCCTTCTTTACGGCTGTGTAATATTCTGTCACATAGATGTACCACCTTTTTAAAAATCATTTGCTCTTTTAAAATACTTACTGAGCCTCTGCTTTGAGCCAGGCACTATAGCAAGCACTGGAGGTTCAGTGTGTGTCCCCTTTGCATTTTGCATCTATGCTCGGGTGGGGCTGCAGCACAGACTGCAGATCAAGGGCGCCAAGGAGTGAATAATAGAGCTCGAGACCCCGTAGACAACTCAACTTTGGACAAGAAGGTCTTGTCATCCAGTAGGACAAGAGGCATCAGGATGTATCAGATGTGATTATTGAAGACAGAGAAAGGCATGCAGTTGAGGGACTTTGGGCTTAGTAGAAGCAACATTGAGGTCTACTGATGAGAAGAGGCAAGGTGTTGGGGTGTTGGTGCAGATAAAGCCACGTTTACGATGGTATTTGGAACGTAATAGACTCACAGAGCACATGTTCATGGAATATGAGTTTATGATGGTCTAGAACCTCTATCTATCTCAGGGAGAAACCTTTACAATTTATGTATTTTTAAAATTTATTTATTTAGTTAGTTATTTTGAGTTGGGGTCTCACTCTGTTGCCCAGGCTGAAGCGCAATGGCATACTCACAGCTCACCGTAGCCTTGACTTCTTGGACTCAGGTGATCCTTCAACCTCAGCCTCTCAAGTAGCTGGGACTGATTTTTTTTTTTTTTGTAGAGACAAATAATCCTCCCATCTTGGCCTCCAAAAGTGCTGGGATTACAGGCATTAACCACCACTCCCAGCTTAAAACTTAGTTTGATAAGTGACAAGATCATTTATTTCAAGCTGATTTGGTTCAGTAGACTATAATGATGATAACTGATTTTTTTATTTGCAAGACTTCTTTCTTGGGGAGTCACCCTGAATTTGACTATCTTCAAAAAAATATATGTTAAATCATACAAGGCTTAATGTTTTCAGAGTAGTGCGAGACTGTTTTCTGTGCTGCAGTTTTTGCCGGCTCCTATGACGCTTATGTTTACCAGTAATTTCCCAGTGGGGTGTGTAACCTGTAATGAGTGCGACAGTGAGGCCATTCCCAGGTTTTATAAGTAATACAATTTGGAGAAAGCTCTTACTAGGCAGAGCAGCTTATTTGGACGAATACCCATTTCTTCTTTCATTTGGGTTTCAGACTTTTGTGTTCTCCTGAAATAATACCTCTTTGAAAATGGCTATTGCTATGACTTCATCCAATTCCAATGCCTCTGGCTTTCTCCCCCAGGATTCTGCATCAGAAGTGCGTAAATCAGATCGCTTGGTCCAAAACAGAAAAACAGTAACTTGTGGCTGAATTTCCAGACTTCTCCCAAGATGGAACCGATAACATTCACAGCGAGGAGACATCCATTTCCTAACGAGGTCTCGGTGGACTTTGGTCTCCAGCTGGTGGGTTTTCTGCCTGTGCATCCTTTGACCACCATGCCCATGTTGCCGTGGGTTGTGGCGGAGGTGCGAAGGCTCAGTGGACAGTCCTCCAAAAAGGAGCCTGCCACCAGGCCAGTCCGGCTTTGTGTTTCACCCTCCGGACTGAGATGCGAACCGGAGCCGGGGAGGAGCCAACAATGGGACCCACTGATCTGTTCCAGCATCTTCGAGTGCAAGCCCCAGCATGTGCACAAACTCATCCACAACAGTCACGACCCAAGCTACTTTGCATGTCTGATCAAGGAAGTTCCCGTCCATCGGCAGAGTATCTGCTATGTATTCAAAGCCGATGACCAAACAAAAGTAAGTGGAGATGGGGTAAAAAAAAAATGAGGGTGTGGCTGGATGGTTTTTAGTGTGATGATGGGGGGAAAGCCAAGAAATATACTTGAAGTATCCTGCAATAAGTAAAGAGATCATGCTGCATTATCCATTGATTGTTTAGCTGAGTTTTTGGTGTTTGGCAATCATTTATAGCTTTGAAGGACATCTGATAACAGATGTTAGAAATGATAAGGTTCTGAGTTCAAAAATTCAGTGAGAGGAATCAGTCTAAAACTCCTAAATGAGAAATGTTAGGATTTATACTATTTAAGATGTGTGTTCTAAAGCAGAGCTTCTCAGATGGAAGCATGCTGGTGAATCACCTGGGGACCTTGTCAAAATGCAAATCCTGATTCAGAAAACCTGGTGCCAGGTCCTGACTCAGGAAGGGACCCCAAGATGACACTTCTCACAAGGGGGTGCTGAGACTGCTCCTTGGCAGGTCGCCCTTTGAGGAGCAAAGTTCTAAATCAGTGATCTCCAGTTTTTTATCCTATTAAGAAAAATATGGTTATTCATGAACTTTAAAATACGGTTAGTCAGAGTCCCAAGGCATCATGTTCACTTTGGTAAAGGTTATCGGTAAGAACAGTGAATAGGAATCTACATTTTTGGTTTTTCTTTTGAGTTAGGGTCTCACTCCATCACCCAGTCTGGACTGCTGTGGCACGATCACAGGTCACTGCAGCCTTGACCTCTTGGGCTCAGGTGATCCTTTTCCATCTCAGGGGAGTAGCTGGGACTACAGGTGTGCGCCATCACACCCAGCTAATTTTTTGACTATTTTTGAGAGATGAAGTCTTGCTATGTTGTCCAGGCTGGTCTTAAACTCCTGAGTTCAAGCAATCTTCTCACCTCGGCCCCCCAAAGTGCTGGGATTGCAGTCCTGAGCCATCATGCTGGGCAAGAATATAAATTTTGATGCTATCAGGGCTTTTTTTGTGTTTTTTTTTCTTTTGTCAACTTTGTGTCAGATCTGATTAGCTTGTTATTGTTTTATCTCATGAGGTAGCTGAGAAAAATGCATGAGACATGGTGGAAGCTCTGCTATTTTTCTGTTCATTTGCATCGTTATTATCTTTAGTTGTAGTTTTGTGGAGGGCTTGTTTAAAGTTACTTGTTCATTTTGTGAGGATTAGTTTAGATAAAATTGAAAACAAAATTCAGATAGCCACTTTCTCTGTTGGGCTCAGGCCTGCAGCTTATCCCGGAGGCTGAGGAGGGACCATTGAGCCAGCATGCCTGTGTGACTCAAGTTGCCTCCCAGAGTCAATCCACACAGAGGGTGTCAGTAAACCTATGGCTCTGTCTTCATATTTAAAATATGGATAGAAATGCTAATGTTTTCTCCCTGCCCCCACTGGGTCATTTTGCATCCTCTTCAGGGAATAAGAACCTCGTTTAGAAATGTGTCCTTGGTACCAAGCAGACCTCTGGAGATGCGCTTGTGTTTGTTCATTTGTTGGTCTTTTTTACATGCTGATTCTGGAATTGCTATTGCAGGTGCCATTGGAGAGGATATCAACAGAGGCTAGTAAGAAGGCAGGAGCATCAGTGGGGAATAAGTCCACCTGATCCATGCACAGGGCATGCTAGGTGGGCAGAGAATGGAGCTTAACACACCCAGACTATTAGAGAAAGCTTTCTAAACTAAATGCTAGTGAACATGGAGATCAAAGCCACCATTTCCCCCAACAGAATCAAGCATCTCTATGTTATAAATCATTTAATGTTATCATCCGTGCATCTTAAATGAACACAGTAGCATCAAGCTAGGAGGTTCAGAGGACTAACTTCCTGGATTCCAGTCCTATCTCTTCCACCTGTAAACTGGGTGGCCTCAGGCAATTAAGTCTGTTTCCTCATCTGTAAAGTGGGGACAATAATAGTATTTATCTGGCAGAGTTGCTAGAAAGACCCAAGGAAGTGGCACAGGTCCTGAAACTTAGTATGCAATTATGACCCTAAAAAAATTTCATATAAGAAAGTTTTACTGGAAGTAGGTTATAAACTAAATTCGTCTCAAATCTTAAGTTAAAAGGCAACCTCAGTGAATGTCTTCAGCTCTCAGAGATAAGATTCTGGTCATCCTTGAGTAACATTTTAAAAGTTAGATCCTTAAACAAAAACATAAAGAAACTTAATGGTTCTTACTATTTGGGCAAATTCCAGAGTGGAAATGAAACGATTGAACAGCCTGTACCCCAGCTTATATAGTATTAGGATTGAGTTCTCTTGGGGGAGTTTTTGCATGGAGTAGTTATTCAGCACTTGACACGTTTGACTTATTCCCACACATTTTTTAGCCATCTGGCAAAAGACTTCTGGCCATTCAGATACTGACCAGGAGAAAAAGATTTAGAGCTAAATTTTGTAATTGGAATCGCTGGGCTTGCCCAAAGTAGAAAATTGGCATTACTCTATATTCTAAAAAGTCATGGTTGAAATATGAATTCGTTCTCAAGTTATTTTTGGAAACACAAATTGTCCTTATTCAGAGTATAAATTGCTGTCATCCTGTTCATTTTATAAAAGAGTAATTTGTAACATGGGTACATCAATCTGTGATTGTGTTATTGGGAATAGAATGGTAAACCACACTGGCCATGATCCAACTGGCATGATATCATTTATGGTCTTGAGACATCACTGGCACTGTAACTCATAGCAGAGGATTATCTGCTGTAGGAGCGTGTTAGCCTCTGTCGATGTTTCTCTTGACTACTTCTAACATTTGCTCAGTGAAATAATTCTCCAGACTAAGGCCTTTTCTAAACAGATGAGGTCAGCATCAACTACGATTGCCAGAGGAGACATGATTTACCAGCAGGGTCATAAGCACAAAACTAATGTTTGAGACCAACCCTTTGATCTGCATCTCAATTAATTTACTGAAGAATGTCTAGGGAGAAGAGACATGCAAAGGAATAATTTTATAAGCACACTATGAGATTGTGTTTCCTTTTATACAGTCCATAGGATATGAGAAGATTTCAAAAAGTTTGTGGAAAATGAAATTAAAAAATAAAAATAAAAAACCTAAGCATTATTCCCCAATATAAGCTTAATCAAATTTAAAACACTTTTGTAAGTGATGGTACCAGTCAGTTAGTCCAGCCCTAAAGAACTGAGGGTCCAGCCTGTAATCCCAGCACTTTGGGAGGCCCAGGAGAGTGAATTGCCTGAGCCTGCGGGTTCGAGACCAGCCGGGTGACTTGGCGAGACTTCGTCTCTACAATAAATCAAAAACTAGCCAGGCGTGGTGGCACGCACCTGTAGTTCTAGCTACTTGGAAGGCTGAGGTGGAAGGATTGCCAGATCCCAGCAGGTCAAGGCTGCGGTGGCCATGAGTGTGCCACTGCGCTCCAGCCTGGGTAATAGAGTGAGACTCCAACTAAAAAAAAAAAATGAACTGAGGGTCCTGGGAATTTAACATGTCTATGCAGTCTTTTTTACATTATTAACTGAAGAAAAATGGGGACCCTCTGCAGATTTTTTAAGATTAGGAAAGAAAAAGAAGGAGTCAAAATCAGGACTGTAAGGTGGATGCCTAATAATTTCCCATGGAAACTCTTATGAAATTGTCCTTGTGTGATGAAAGGGAGGAGTAAGAACACTGTCATGGTGGAGAATCACTCTCTGGTAAAGATTTCCTGGGTGTTTTTCTGCTAAAACTTTGGTTAACTTTTTCAAAACACTTTCATAATAAGCAGATGTTATTGTTGTTTGACTTTCCTGACAGTCAACAAGCAAAATTCCTTGAGCAAAATCCCAAAAAACTGTTGCCATGACCTTTACTCTTGTCTGCTTTTGCTTTGACTGATCCACTTCCACCTCTTGCTAGCCATTGTTTTGATTGTACTTTGTCTCCAGGATTGTACTGGGAAAGCCATATTTTATCTCCTGTTACAATTCTTTGAAGAAATGTCTTGAGACCTTGATTCCACTTGTTTAAAATTTCCATTGCAAGCTCTGCTCTAGTTTGAGCTGAGTTGGCTGCAAAAGTTGTGGTACCCATTGAGTGGAACATTTGCTCAATTTTAATTTTCAGTCAGAATTGTGTAAGTTGAACCAGTTGAACCAGTCTGTGGTGTTGGCTATTGTTTCTCCTGCTAATTGTCTGTCCTCTTCAATTAGGACATGAACAAGATAATTTTTTTCCTCACAAATGGATGTAGATGGTATGCCATAGAGGGCTTCATCTTCAACATAACCTTGTCCCTTCTCAAAAAAAGAGTTATCCATTGGAAAACTGATGATTTCTTTGGGGCATTGGCTTCGCAGACTTTTTATAAAACATCAACATTCTTCCACCCATCAATGTCACCACAAATTTAATGTTTGTTCTTGCTTCATTTTAGTAGAATTCATGTTGCTCTGATAAGAGACTTTCTTTTCTTTTCTTTCCCTTCCCTTCCCTTCCCTTCCTTCCTTCCTTCCTTCCTTCCTTCCTTCCTTCCTTCCTTCTTTCTTTCTTTCTTTCCTCCCTCCCTCCCTCCCTCCCTCCCTCTCTCCCTCTCTCTCTCTCTCTCTCTTTCTTTCTTTCTTTCTTTCACAGGGTCATACTCTGTTGCCCAGGCTGAAGTGCAGTGGAGAGATCCTAGCTCACTGCAGCCTCAAACTCTGGGCTCAAGTGATCTTCCTGCCTTAGCCTTTCTAGTAGCTCGGGCTACAGGTGCATACCACTACTCCCAGCTGATTTTTTTTTTTTTTGTAGAGGCAAGGTCTTGCTATGTTGCCCAGACTAGTCTCAAATGCTTGGCCTCAAGGAATCCTCCCACTTTGGCCTCCCAAAGTGCTGGAATTACAAGCTCCCAGCCCGGGGCTTTTCTCAAAATCATATCTTATCCTCTTTAGAGCCGCTAGCTAGATTCTTTCTCAACTTTTTATAACAAGTTAGTACATGCTTATTTTGGTGTAAAAATTGTTTTGAAATCCATGCATAATTTTTTCATACTATACATTTTCTGTAAACCTTT